ACCAGCAGATAAAGGTGCTCAGAGATTGAAGAGACTGAGAGATGAGAAGAGGGAAACATATATTATACTAGAATGATAGTATGTGATATGATGGATCCTGGTTCCAATTTAGGGAATTAAAACTGAAGATGGTTGGTTCAAAACCACTCACTTCATTGTATTTCAAATATTTCATTACTACCTGAGATGAATCAGGAACCTTGGTCTCTATTATCTGAAAGCTGCTTCTCAGATTTTTTTGGAGTTACCATACTTGACTGAAAACTAAATAATTCCCAGGGAAAGGCTGATCTTGGCTTTTCTTAAAACATAACTCCTAAAAACCCAAAAGGCTTGAGAAAATACTTTATGGCTGTTAATATTTATTTTGGAGAAAAGGAGGCTGAGGGGTGACCTCATTGCTCTCTGAAGCTTCCTGAGGATGGGAAGTGGGGAGGGTGATGCTGATCTCTTCTCCCTGGTATGCAGAGATAGGGCGTGTGGAAATGGTTCAAAGCTGTGCCAGGGGAGGTTTAGACTGGACATTATGAAGCATTTCTTTACTAGAGGATGGTCAAACACTGGAACAGGCTTCCTAGAGAGGTGGTTGATGCCTGAAGCCTGTCATCATTTAAGAGGTATTTGGACAATGGCCTTAATAACATGCTTTAGCTTTTGGTCAGCACTGAAGCAGTCAGGCAGTTGGACTAGATGGTCGTTGTAGGTCCCTTCTAACTGAAAATATTCTGTTCTCTTCTATTCTAAACATACAGGCTGCCCAGGGAGGTTGCAGAGTCTCCAGCCTTCCAAAGTCACCTGGACTCAGTCCTGGGCAGCCTGCTCTAGGTGGCTGTGCTTGAGAAGGGGGTTGCACCCAATGAACTTGGGGCAAACCAACTCGTGGAAGCCCAACAGCATTGCCCTGGGGTGACCCCTGGGGAGGTGGACATCATGGTCTCCAAGTGGTAAGCCCTCTGCACAGAGAACAAGCACCACGCGTGTGGAGCGGGACTCTGGATGCTCTGCTTGCTGCACCGGTGGGAGGCTTGGGCATGAGCCAATGCAGAGCAGCAGCTGGAGAGCTGGAGGCACAGCTAGGGCAGGCGCAGGAGGGAGGACTGTCCTGCAGCACAAGGCACCTCCCCTCCTGCACCCCCTCATCACCATTCCAAAATAGCGTCTCTTTTGGAACGCTGATGTCTCACCAGCACAGCAGGGACAGAGGCCCTGCCACAGAGAGGCCCCATCCCACCACAGGGATAGACACCATCACCCCCCCATCAGTGTTACGAAGGCACCAAGAGCACAGTCATGTCTACAAGAACAAAGGCTAGCACCAAGGGAGCCGATCCGTCTCACAGGGTGGCAGAGTAGGATTAAACCATCCATGGGCCACACCTTCTCTCACACATGCACACTTTGAATTCCTTTGGCTGGCCTGCCTAGTTACAGGCAGATAGAGCCCGATAGATGTCTAGGAGGCTCCTGGAGTGTGTGGAAGATAACTTCCTGACACAGGTGGTGCGTGAGCCAACTAGGGAAGGTGTTCCACTGGACCTGTTGTTTGCAAACAGAGAGGGACTTGCGGGTGATGTGATGGTTGGAGGCTGTCTTGGGCACAGCAATCATGAAATGATAAGAGTTTTCAATTCTTGGAGAAGTAAGGAGGGGGCGTAGCAGAACTGCCACCTTGGACTTCTGGAGGGCAGACTTTGGCCTGTTCAGGGGCCTGGTTGACAGACTCCCTTGGGAGGCAGTCCTGAAGGGCAAAAGGGTCCTGGAAGGCTGGACATTCTTCAGGAAGGAAATCTCAAAGGCGCAGGAGCAGGCTGTCCCCATGTGCCAAAAGACGAGGTGGTGGGGAAGAAGACCGGCCTGGCTGAACAGAGAGCTTTGGCTGGATCTCAGGCAAAAAAGGAGAGTTTATGACCTTTGGAAGAAGGGGCAGGCAATGCATGAGGACTACAGAGATGTCGTGAGGTTACACAGGGAGGAAATCAGAAGGGCCAAAGCCCAAGTAGAACTTGATTCGGTTACTGCAGTAAAAGATAATTAAAAGAGTTTCTATAAATACATTAACAACAAAAGGCAGGCTAAGGAGAATCTCTGACCTCTACTGGGTGTGGGGGGAAACATAGTGACGAAGTATGAGGAAAAGGCTGAGGGACTTAATGCCTTCTTTGCCTCAGCCTTTAAAAGGCAGGTTCTGCTTGACTAACCTGATCTCCTTCTATGACAAGGTGACCCCCTTAGTGGATGACGGAAAGGCTGTGGATTTTGTCTGCCTAGACTTTAGCAAAGCCTTTGACACCATTTCCCACAGCATTCTCCTGCAGAGACTGGCTGGGGCACACTCTTTGCTGGGTAAAAAAATGGCTGGATGGCCGGGCCCACAGAGTTGTGGTGAACGGAGTTAAATCCAGTTGGCGGCCGGTCACAAGCCCTGCTCCCCAGGGCTCAGTA